TAAGGACTAGATCTCGTAATTGCCGCAGTTCTGCCAGGGGAGACAGAAGCCTCTCCCTTCAAGAAACCTCAATGTTTGTTCCTGAGGCTTTCAGCTGATTGGATAATTTACACATTTTGGAGGAGGATTTGTTTTGCTTCAGATCAACTGATTAAAACATTAACTACAGAGATACACTTTCACAGCAATGTCTACACCAACGTTTGACCAACAATTGGACACTGAAATCTAGTCAACACAACACACAAAATTAAACATCAGAGAGATGGTGTAGAGGCATGTGTGAATAAAGGTAACCAATGATTAGTGCTTGCCAGCTACCGGCCAGGCACTGTTCTCAGCGCTTTGTTTAGGAACAACCACGACATACAACAACCTTATAGAGTAGGAATAACTTTTATAATCACTATCAGATGAGACGGCACGGGTAATCTGCTTTAGTACAATTTACTGCCTCTGGAAACCTGCTGGAGGGTCAGTTATGGGTACTTCCGACCTGATGGCAGATAACAATAACATCAAATGACACAGAGGACTTACACAACTCGTGCAAGGTGGCCCAGCTGGGCAGCCATGAAGCCAGGGGGCACGGAGCTGTGATCGAACCCTGATGTGCCGCCGTTAACATCACACTGCCCCAAGGGAGTGAAAGGAAGACCCAGGAACTGTTCTGCCGGGAGCAGAGAGGCTTCACAGCACAGTCCCAGCACAGGGCTGTGGTCAGCAGAATGCTGACGTACCCCTCTTTCAGGAAGGGCAGGAGGAAGGGAGACACTCCGTACACCAAGGGAGAGGAACAGCGCAGAGACGCACAGCGGTGTCAACAGCAACCACGTGAACTGTTGTTATGGTTGAAGCAAAGAACGAAAGACGTAGAAGTAAAAGATGAAGCTTTTCATCAAAAGACACAGACTACATCGACCATTTGATCTGGGCTTAAATTTGGTGTTATGTCATCGCAGGGTTATAGGAAGTTTCTAAAAGAGATTATCATTATCAACTGTGTTTGGGAAAGATCATTCTGGAGGCACTGTGGGGATTAAATGGGGAATGTTTTGAGTTGTATTCATATACAAACAAGTTCATCCCATTGGTCCTGAGGAAGGACTGAATGTAGAGGTTTCTGGAAAAGGGGCAGAGGTCCTGCTCCTGTATTTTTTTTGCAGAAATATGTTCTAATAAGTTACATCAGCAAAAGACAGGAAGAACCTCAACGAGATGGATCAACACAGTGACAGGAACCCTGGGTTGGTGTAGGAGAGATTGTGAGGAGGTGTAAAACAGAGCAAGGTTCCACATGAGTTAGAGTCAGTTCAGCAGCACAGAAGAACAACGTGAAGGCAGGTGCGGGCTGAGCACCTGCTTGCAAGTGTGGAGGGTGGATGGTGAGGACTCAGGTATCTAGAGAGTTTGATTTTTCCTTCACCTTGTACCAGGGGCAAGACTGGGGAAGGTGCTGGGGTGTTGGTGCCTCAGAAGTGGTGAATTAGGGGAGGGGAAGAAAATGTTCAACAATGAAAAAGTGTGTGTGTGTGTGTGTGTGTGTGTGTGTGTGTGTGTGTGTGTGTGTGCGCGTGTGTGTTTTAAGTTAAAAAAGTAAAGGTACATTTAGTAGAAAGTCATATCCCAAAAGAACGGACCTCCCTCCTTGAAAGCAAATATGGAGGGGGAAAAAAAGATATGTTTAAAAAGAAGTGGTGAAATAAGGAAAACTGATATTAAATGAGAGATTTTTGTCCTTTATAATAATTTAAGATAACCTCATCTCAACAATATTATCATAATTATATTACCTTATTAATATTATATGTATATATATTTGCTTCATTCATCAAACGTTTATTATCAACTCTACCAGCTACTATGAAAGCTGCCTCCTGCCTTAAACCCTAGGCCAAGCCTGGCTTGCCTTGCTTCTGGTGGCAGAGCAAACCCGCACGTCAAACACAAGCCCAGGAAAGCACTCAACTCCAAAAGCTTGCCATAATTCCTGTGCTCGCACCACCATGCTCCCTGGCAAGAAGTCACAGAAACCCTGGGAGAAGCCTGTGGCCCTTGGGCCAGGTTCAAATTGTTTTCCTGTCAAACATTTTTCTAGGTGGTATAGCACTGGTCTGTGCATTGCTGTACAGAGGTAACTCGTGGTTGCTGTGATGCTGAACGGTGACATTGATGTGCCAAATGTGGTAATGGGTACACATGGTGAACGGTGTTGGCTGGAGCTTCTCGACTAAAACAAGCCTGGAAGCAGGAGTGGCATCCACTTCCGAAATGGCTTGTCTCCAGAAACTCTATGTACAAACAGTGCTCAGGCCTTTCGTTCATAGGGTCACTATGAATCGTCTACTACTCGATGGCACCTAAAAACTACAACAACAACCAGCTACTATGATCCCTGCTGAAAAGGAACAAGATGTGTTTTTGAAACACTGAGAACTTTACTAAAAAGCAAGCTCTTGGTTCTTCTCATTGAGACTCAAGGTTATTGGTGGTGCCAAGAAGCATCCCAAGAATTGCTAGCTGGAAACCATGACAGGAGGTGGTGGTTGGAAAGCCCCAAGGGATTTCAGAAGAAAACAGAAAAGATGATGGGAAATAGGACTATGACTAAATTTCTGTCTCAAAAAATACATCCTGGACACATCAGTCAGGCAGACATTATGCTTTCCACACCCAACTTCTAGATGAAACTGACTCGCCCACAGTCCCAGCTCAGGGAAGCTGGTGGGGTCGGTGAGAGCAGAGTTGCCCACAATTGAGCCAAAGTGGATTCATGATCCAAGAGCAGCCAATCCAAGGACCAGCCATTATATAATCCATGAGGTGGCTTGGAGGCCAGTTGTGACCACAGTGACTAAGTCAGTCTCACTGCAACCTCTCAAGTTTAAATATTAAAAAATAAAACAAAAACACCATCACTAAGCAAGGAAAAACCCCCACAAACCCCAATAAACCAAACCCCCTGAAACTCATTGCTCTTGAACCAGAATCAACTCCCAGCTGAACCTCCTGTGGATTTTCAGAGGTTATAAATCACACGAGGCGTTTGCTCACCTTCAGTCTGCAGAGTTGCTGGTGGATTTGAACTGGCCACTTTTAGGCTAGGGGTGCAACTTCCAGCAGACTATGCCATCAGATAATGTTGGCCAATTGGTAGAGAGAGGAAGCCAGGGCAGGTGGACAAAAAGCCCCCTGGGCCATGAGAAAACCAGAACAGTTCACGTCTGTCTTTGATCTTGTTCCCGTCAATGAGAACTTGCCTCAAAACACATTTTCTGTTGAAAAAATTTGTTTCTGATGTAACAAGTACCAGGAAATCACTCCAGGAATGGTAAGGTGGTGGATAGTATTTGAAAAAAAAAAATTTTGAGCTCTTTTCCAATTCTATGTCCAAACGATTTATATTGCGTCCCGTCACTTCTCCATTAAGCTCACATCTTCACAACACTCAGGCGAGGAAGGTGGTGTGCCCTAAGCTTGTCATGTAGAGGTCCTCAGTAAATGCTTGTTCCACTTAGAAAGTCTGATGTGCTCACAGGCAAAACATGAGCTAAGTCCTCAAGCAGTTCCAATGTCGATAGACTTAGAAACCAATTTAGGAGCCACCTAGACAACAGTTTGCTTTCTACTTGCTGTTGTTGTTGTTGTTAGGTGCCGTCGAGTCGTAGACGACTCATAGCGACCCTATGAACGAAAGGCCTGAGCACTGTTTGTACGTAGAGTTTCCAGAGACAAGCCATTTCAGAAGTGGATGCCGCTCCTGCTTCCAGGCTTGTTTTAGTTGGGAAGCTCCAGCCAACACTGTCCACCATGGGTAACGATTACCACGTTTGGCACATCAGTGTCCCAGTGTTCAGCATCACAGCAACCACGAGTTACCTCTGTACAGCAAAGCATAGACCAGTGCTATACCATCTAGAAGAATTTCTACTTACTAGATAATAGAATTATCTGAACTGTGTTGTGACACAAAGTTTCTCTTTTTGAGATTCTGATTTTAAAATGCTTGGAGTTCTAGGAATCTATGAGGGGTGTTTGTGTGTTTTCTAACTGTTGTTGAAAATATGCACAGCAAAATATGTGCCAGTTCAACACATTCTACGTGTACAATAGTCACATTAATTCTTTCATTGTCATCAAGTCAGAATTGACTTAGAGCTGACCCTCCAGTGGATTTTGAGACTGTAATTTACATGGGAGGAGCCTGCCCATCTTTTACCTGAGAAGCAACTGGTGGATTTGAACTGACCACCTTTGGGGTGGCAACACAACTCTCTATCCACTAGGCCACCAGAGCACCCTGTGACACTGATTATAGTCTTCAAATTGTGTAGTCTTCCACATCCTCCTTTCCTGAGTCGTCCCTACTCTGTGGTGTAAACCCACTGTCCCTCAGCTTCCTATCTCATCTTACAAAGGGGCTGCTAATAATGTGTTCTCACATTGGAAGGTCTTTTTTTTTAAATTTAGGTTGTTTATTTTTCATTTCAATGAACATCTACAGAGATTTTGGAATTCCATTCATTCATTGTTGCACCCTTCTC